CGGGAGGGCTCAGTCCTTGCCTGACTTGGAAGCGCAGAGGGGTCCTGGGCTCGCATCACAGCTGGGACAATGAGTGAGGCCGCAGAGGGGGGCTGGAGTCTGGTTCAGCCCAGCTTGGGGGGGCGGGGCGCCAGAGGGCCTTTGTGTGGGTCCGCGGGGGGCCTGCGGGCTTGGGGCCAGGGCATGGCTGAGGTGGTCCCAGGAGCTTGGTAAAACCAGCCTCCAAAGGCAAGGGGCTGGCGAGGGAAAGCTGGTTCCAGATCGAACATGACGACAGTCACCGTGGTTCTGGGCAGCTGAGCTGGGCAGGGGTGGGCATGGGTGTGACCAGGTGACGCTGCTAGGGGACCCATTTTGAGGGTGGGTGGGAGGCATTGGCTTTGTGCTAGCTTCTGTGTGTTATCTCATTTTATCTACTTCATCCTTTAAAACAAGTCGGTGTGTCCATTTCACAGATAAAGAGCTGAGGCTCTGAGAGGTAGAATGACTTTCCCAAGGTGACTCAGTCTGTATGTAGCAGGGTAAGCAGTTGACTTGGGGGCTTGTCCTGCCCTCCGCGTGCTGTCTCCTCATCTTTCTCATGAAAGCACAGGGAACCAGGCGGTGATCCGGGGCAAACTGGCTCTGTGTGTGCATGGAGGAGAGTGGAGTGTGGGGGCTGGGGGGGGAGGGGCTGAGGCTGAGCCTTGAAGGAGGGGTTGATTTCTGATTTGTGAGACTGGTGAAGGAAGGAACAGGCACATTCCTGGCAGAGGAGCTGGGACAGGAAGCGCCTGGAGTGGGAGCTTAGGCCTTAGGGAAGAAATGGCAAGTTGCAGCTCAGCCAGGGCAGAGGACCCAGGGCAGGGGACATTACAGTCGGGGACTGCTCCGGGAGGACACCTGCGTCCCCTGGGGGAAGCGCACGGGTTCAGCACGTGGTGGAGTGGGGAAAACCTGGCGGTTCAGAACCCAGCCATGCGACGTCCTGGCTGGGTGAGCTTGGGCAAGTCTCTGTGCTTCCTCCAGCCACATGGAGCCTCGGTTTCTCATCTGTAAAATGGGGACAAAGGAAGCTCCATCCTCGTGGGCCTGGTTGTGAGGATTCAAAGTCCTAAAAATATGAAAGCTGCTGGCTGGAGGCCTTCCAGGAAGGGAATTTACATCACAAGGAACCTGGGGCTCAGGGAGGAGAAGGGCCACTCTCCAGGGGCAATAGAAGGGGCAGGGCCACCCCCTGGAGCCTGCAGTCTAGCCTCCCTCAGCCCCCTGGGTCCTGCTCTGCTGGCATCAGTGCTCAGCATGCTGCAGGCACTTGAGGATCTCCCATAACCCTCACAGCACCAGCCCAGGCTGCCCGCCTGAGCCAGCCCATTTCACAGAGGAGACTGCGGCTCAGTGGGGAGATCTGGCCCCAGGTCAACTGTGACTATAAGAGGCAGAGCTGGGTTTGGACCCCCAATCTCTGACAGCAAGGCCACAGCCTGCTGGTCAGGAGGACATAAAAGTAAGACTCCTAGTCCTGGGATACCTTCTGAGAAGGGGGCATTGGATCAAGGGGATTGAGTAGACCCCAGAGGGCGAGCTCAGCAGAACCCTGGCACTGCCCACCCCACGCCTGGCAGGGTGTCTGGATCCTTGCAGCCCCTCAGCGGAGGAAGCTAGGAGCCTTGTGTTAGGAGGTGGCCAAGCTCCAGGGCTGGGAGAGGGGGCCCACCAGGTGAAGGCTGAGCCCTCAGCAGCACTCCAGGCTCCCACCTCCCCAGAGAGGAAGAGAGGCGGCTGGAGCCCCTAAAGAGTTGTGGGCGGTGGGCAGGGGCATGCTGGAGGGGAGGCCAGTTCAAGAGAAGGTGGAGAGAGGAAAGCAGGCCACCGGAGGTTTTGGAGGCACCAACTTCTCTGCAACATCATGACCTTCCTGGTGCCTGATAAAAAATCCAAGGAAGGAAAGGCATCCTTCCGTCCGCAGCCAGGGAGGGGGGCCAGGGCCTTCGTGGTGGGGCGCGGGCACTGAAGCTGGCTTCCCAACACACCACCAACTGTGATGTGCGGCCTTGGAATCAGCCAGACCCAGGTTTGAGTCCCGGCTCCATCTCTTAGTACTTGTGTGACCTTGAGTAAGCAACTCACCTCTCTGAACCTGTTTTCTCATCTGTTATATGGGACTAAGGACGTCTATTTATTGAGCACCTACTGTGCGCCAGGCACTGCCCTGCTCCTGGGGATGCAGTGGCGCACAGAGCCAGTGCGATGAGGCCACAGGAGCACAGCGGTGGCTCACAAGAAATAGTAGCTCTGATGTTTTACTTTCAATATTATTGGCAATAGTCATCTTGTTATTAGCTGGGACACTCGGCGTAGCTTCTGGAATGGGCTAAACCCTCAATAAATGATAGATCTTATGATGGGGAAACTGAGGCTCAGAGAGGGTCACCCGGAAAGTCATTTATGGGAAGAGGGAAGAAGGCTGTGCAGACGGAAACAAGCACTTCCTAAGGGCCCTTTCCTCACTGCTTCTCTCCTTCTTGCCCTCCAGTGCCCTCCAAACCCTGGGGTGGGGGACAGGGAGCTGGGAGGATCCTCACTTCCACCCCAGCACTCACAGG